TCATGAAGGATGTACTTAATAAAAAAGAAAGTTTGTAGATAATGAGATTGTTGCACTCAGCGAAGAGTGTAACACTATAATTCAGAAAAAGCTTTCTGAAAAACTTAAAGATCCTGAAAGTTTTACAATTCATTGTGCTATTAATGAACAATTTTATGAAAAAGCTTTATGTTATTTAGGAGCCAGTATTAATCTTAAGTTGTTGTCATTTTTCAGAAGGTTGGGCTTAAGAGATATTTTACCTATCGAGATATTTCACCTACAACTGTAACTCTTCAGTTAGGTGATCATTCGATTACCTATCGTAATGGAGTTATAGAAGATGTTTTAGTAAAGGTTGATAAATTTATCTTTTCTATGGACTTTATTGTATTATATATGAAGGAAGATAAGAAAATTCCTATCATTTTAGGATGACCATTCCTAGCCACTAGAAAAACTCTGATAGATGTGCAGAAAGGAGAATTAACTATGAGAGTTAGTGATCAAGAGGTTACATTTAACATTGCAAAATCAATGAGATACGCTGCAAAAGAGCAAGAGATTGAATGCTTCAAAATATATATTAATGAATATTTAAGCCATGAATATTTTAAGAAGACTTTTGAAAGAGAATTTGAAAAGGAATATATGGAATATCAAGATGAGGATAAAATTCACGATGAATCTATGGAAGTGAGCAAAAAGGATTGGATTATGCTTAGGAAAATTATAAAATGTTAGATCCTAGAGAAAGTAATAAGAATTTTATTTTATCTATTGAGAAACCTCCTGAACTAGAACTTAAAACACTTCCTACACATTTGAAGTATGCATTCTTAGGAGATTTATCTACATTACCTGTTATAGTATCCTTAAAATTAGCTGATACACAAGATCAATAGTTGTTGGAAACTTTAAAAAGATATAAGAAAGCTTTTGGATGGACATTAACTGATATAATAGCTCTAGCATACATATCTTTAATGAATTGAATAAATAGAATCTTATTAGAAGATCAACACGAGCCAATAGCTGATCCTCAAATGAGATTAAATCATATGCTTATGATGAAAGAAGTTATGAAGAAAGAGATTTTAAAACTATTAGATGTTGGAATAATATATCTTATTTCAGATAGTGCTTGGGTATGTCCAATTCACTGTGCTCCAAAGAAAGAAGGTGTGATTGGACTGACAAATGAGCATAATGAATTAATATCAATAAAACAAGTCACTAGTTAGAGAATCTACATAGATTATAGAAAATTAAATTCTATCACCGAGAAGGTTAATTTTTCTTTACCCTTTTTGGACCAAATGTTGGATAGATTAGCTGGGCATAAATATTTTTGTTTTTTATATAGATATACCAGTTATCACCAAATACCTATTGCTCCCTTGTCTGGTTCCTTTAGATCCGTCTCATTTACTAGTCCTTATGAAACTTTTGCATTTCGGCGAATGCCCTTTGGATTATGTAATGCACCGGCAACTTTTCAAAGATGTATGATGTCAATTTTCAATGATTTGATTGAAAAAGGGTTGAAGTCTTTATGGATGATTTTTTTTTGTATTTAGAAATTCATTCGAAATATGTCTAAATCATTTAGAGAAATTTCTGGAATGTTGTGAAAAGACTAATTTTGTATTGAATTGGAAAAAATGTCAATTTATAGTTGCAGGAGGAATTGTGCTTGGGCGTAAAATTTCAAAAAATGACATGGAAGTAGATCCTGCTAAATTATAAGTTATATCAAACTTACTTCCACCTACTACTGTAAGAGGAATTAGGAGCTTTCTAGGACATGTTGGATTTTACAGGAGATATATTAAAGACTTTTCAAAAATTACTAAACCTTTACGCCAACTTTTGGAAAAAGATATAAAATTTGACTTTAATTAAGATTGCCTTAAACTTTGAAATTTTAAAGGAAAAAATGATCACTGTTCCCATAATTGTTTCACCTGATTGGGAGAAACATTTTGAATTAATGTGTGATACTAGTGATTATGCAATTGGAGATATTTTAGGGCAGAGATATGATAAGATTTTTAAAGTTATATACTATGCTAGTAAGACTAAAGGATGCTAAAATTAATAACCCCACCATTGAAAGAGAATTATTAGCCATTGTGTCTGCTTTTAATAATTTTAGGTCATATCTGATTGGAGCTAAATATGTTGTGCATACTGACCATTCAACTATTAAATATTTGATGCAAAAGAAGGACGCTAAACCAATATTAATTAGATGGGTACTTCTTATGCAAGAGTTTGATTTTGTAACAGTCGATAGGAAATGAACTGATAATCAAATTATTGATTATCTGTCTAGGCTAGAACAAGAAGAAATACTTGATTTGGAAAGAGAAATTAATGAAACTTTTTTTTATGAACAACTTTATGCTGTAAAAGAATGAGAAATACCGTGATATGCTGATATTGTAAATTATATTGTTAGTGGTATTTTACCTTATGGGCTGACAAAACAACAGGAAAAGAAATTCATTTATGATGTAAAATCATATTTTTTGGATAGCCCTTATTTATATAAACAATGCAAAAATTTAAACAAAAATTTAAAAATGTGATGATGTGTGTCTTATAAAGAAATTTAGGAAATTATCCAAATATATCATGATTCTGAATTTGAAGGTCATTTTGAGAAAGATGGAACTGTTCATAAAATTTTACAATCTGAATTTTATTGGGCTAATCTATTTAATATATATATATATATAAACATGTGATCGGTGTAAGGGAGTAGGTAATATTTAAGAAAAAATGAAATGCCTCTAAATTTTGATTTGGAAATTGAAATTTTTGATGCATGAGGATTGGTTTTTATGGTTTATACATTCATTTGGAAATATTTATATATTGATTACAGTGGATTATGTTTCTAAATGGATTGAAGCAATTGTTTTACCTCGATGCGATGCTCGGAGTGTTTCAAAATTTTTAATTAAAAACATTTTTACAAGATATGAAATGCCAAGAGTAATCATTACCGATAGAGGATCTCATTTTAGAAATGTAACAATTGCAAGATTAGTGAAAAAATATAATATAATGCATAAAATTATAACTGATTATCATTTCTAGACTAGTGATTTAGTAGAAGTATCTAATCGAGAAATTAAGAGAATTTTGGATGGTTGGTATGTACTGAAAGTATCGGTCACAATCCCTATAACCTTTTTGTTATTGAAATAAAATTTCTTACGGAATTCTTAAGAAAAAAAAAAAAACCTATTTAAAGTAATCATGATTCTTAGTTATTTTATTTCAGGAAAAGTTAGATACATACAACTTAATTTATATATATTTATATATCTAACACCTAAACTTCAACTTTCACATATATGCCACCTTAAATATGCATGAAAAGTTGTATTCACAATTTAAGTTAAAATATTGATATTTTGGATGTCATATGAAGGATTTGGGTGGTATAACCGTTAAAGGTCAAATTTAGCATAGGAATCCGGTGGTATGTATGTAAATGCCCCTTTATACTATGCTATAATATGATAAAATGTTAATTTCTTTTGGGTTATTAATCCTGATGCAGTAATTCGGCCTCATGATTATGATGCTTTGTTGAATAAATTTTCCACATGCCTTGCACAATTGCATTAGGTTGGTCATTGGTACTTCTGACATATAGAAAATATATAGAATATCAGACATGTCCGATGATTCCTCCATAAAAGGAAATTTGCGTGTAAGGTGAGGCTTCTATTTTTTATATATTTCTTATATTTGCAGGCTTGTCATTGCTGCTTTTTCTAGAAATATGATTACGAGGTTCTTCATTAGTCAGTTTCTTCACATGAATACCAAGCTATTTTTCGAAGAGAAGTTATTGAAACTTCTTTAATTTATGTTTTGAAAATTGTGGTTTGTAATCTAAGAAACCTTCTTTGCAAATATATAGCCTGTTAAAAATTTAGACGTCATTAAACAGTCAATTTTGATATGTCCCAAAATATTTGTCAGATTTAAATTGCATTTATGAATCTGATGAACATTGTAAGCTAACTTATAATTGAATTACTAGATATGATATGGCAACCTCATGAAGCAGCTGTTTAGTATTCTTGCTTTTTTTATGTGGCATAGTTTTGTTAGCTTTGAGGATGTTAATGATGCATGACGAATCTTTGTAGATAGGGTGCACTGATAATAATCGACTTTAGATTGTTCTTTCTTGGATATGGCATTGCGGCTTCAGAAAATTATGCCTTAAAAGCATGCTTAATTGTAAAAATATATTCCTTCCAAATTAGTATGGATACCGTGCACATCTTAACAAAAAAGGTTTGACAAATGCTGCTTACATTTGTTCAATTTATGAGTTTTTAAGTCATTTTCGTGGAATGTATGAAGTAGTAATTTTGAGAGGTTGGCAACACTTTGGGTCGTCATTGTAAAGTTCTTTTCCTTCTGTTTTTGGGAACAAACGAGTCTTGCAATTTTATCATGTGCTCGCTCATTCACATTGCTTGGACCAATGTTATAGTTTTGACCATTATGAAATAAATCTTTATAAATATAAATTTCGGGCATGTAAAAGAGAACTTTTGTATTCAATTCAAGTTCATGTTATCGATTATTTATGTAATTGCAGATGAGTTCATTTTCCATAACCAAACTTAGAATCCATTGAAGTGTTCAACAACAAGCCAGCAATTTAAGATATTAACTTAATTAAAAAAACATTTTTTAAGAAGATTAACTTCAATTTTTAAATTTTTAATAAAAACAAATATTTAAATATTGAATATATAAGCTTATAAAAACTCTATGATACATACAATAACAATAAAAGTTTTGCATTCCATGCACACAACCAAACAGCTCAAGTATCCATAGTACAACTTGGTTCTTGCCTTGCATACATCCAGCCAACCTAAAAAACAAATCTCCTGCATTTACTATATAAATAACTAAACAGCTTCAAAATATTCATGCATCTAACCAAAAAGAAAAACAAATATTTTTCATCTGACTGGATGTATATGCTTGTTTTATTATCAGCATATATCTCTCCAGTATCATTTACATTTCATATAAATGAGAACTTAATTAGAGTGTCTCATTATAGAGTACAATTTATTCTCCACATTTTGTTTATCAATCTAGGCCAGCCCAGCAATCTTTGCTATTAATTCTCAGGAGGAAAAACTACAAGCAAAAGCCCAAGACTTTGGTAGCGATCTGAAATCAAGAGCGGCCTAAAAAACACAACTCATTTCCATCTTTTACTAATGCTAGCAAACAAATATAAGAATTTGGCTAAAAATCTGGCCTAATTAGACATCAAAAGCAACTTATAAAATCAGCCCTCCCGAAATTGGGGCTCTCATAAAATAAATAAATAAATAAATAAAGGACCAAAAGAAAAAAATAAATATTACAGTTGTCAGGGCACAGTTGTGCTAGAATATCCATTAGCCTTCTTTAGAGGCTTCCTCTTGCCGCTGTAATTTGTTAGACTACATTGTGGGCACATGTATTCCAATCCATCCGTTTTTGAATAGTCCTGTCAAAATTTTAATCAAAAACAACTCCGGTAGATATATACAGACACAAGACTTTATTGTGGGTAAAAATTTTCTGTCCGAACTCCGGACGTAATTCTATGTGCGGACTCCAGTAATATACCGCCATGTGTGCTATATCAGGCGCACCTAAAAAAAGATTGGAGTTGAACTGAGAATGTTATTGGAGTGAAACTACGGATGTTATTTGGAGGGTTATTGAGAAGTTATTGAAGAGTTATTAGAAGGGGTTATTCGGGTATTAACTCCAATAATGCCACAATAACCCCTGGATAACCGCGCAATAACCTCCGCGGTTCCACTCAATTAACCACCCGCAATAACCCCCACTATAGCCCCCCAAAAACCCCCAAATAACCCCATAATAACCTCCGCGGTTCCCCTTTCAATAACCCCCTGCAATAACCTCCACCATCACACCCCAACACTAACCTCCACAATTCCACTTCAATAACCCCCAACATTAACCCCCACAATAACCCCCAATAACCCCCTAATAACATCCGTGGTTTCACTTAAATAACCCTCCAATAACCTTCACGATGTAGCACACATAGCAGCATATTTACTGGAAATCTGCATGTAGAGCTGCATTCGAACTCCAGATTGAAAATTCTCTCTTGTCGTGGACTGCAAGTTCACGAACATAAAATTTTTAGAATGCCTTCAATACCCCTTGAACGGTTATGTTAGGGGACAAAAGGCATTTGATTGGCAAATGGGGGACAAAAGGCATTTTGATTGGCAAATGCATAGTGAATATGAAAACAAAAATGTTAATATGCAGACAGAAAGAAACTGCGTACCTTAAAAGTACCGAGGCCTAGTCGTCTGTCACAACCAAAGTGAGCCCACTCACCACATAATTCACAATTAACCCAGTCCCCAGGAGCACTACTGTTAATATCATATTGATATATATTTATATCAATTAGTTAGTTATGAACCGCGTATGAAGAATAAGCTAGAGGAATAAATTTTTTTAAAAAAAAGGAATTTGTTTATTAAAAAAAGGGTGAGGTAGAGGAGAATGATTGTCTGACCTATGGCATAACAAGCAACATTCTCCATCAACATCATCATGTGCTAACTCGTACTCTAGCAAGTATGTCTCGTAGTGTCTTTTAAGTGTATTTCCAACGCCCTGCAAGAGAGAAATGAGGACTACTAAGTATATAAACATTGAACAAAAGGCTTGGAAAATATGGGAGTTTAAATTGCAATGTTTCTCTACATTGAATACTGGGTGCTTGAGGCTAGACCAATAAACACAAATAAATCGTTAAATATAGCCGAGTCTCTCTACATCATTTTCTTCCTTAAATCTAAAGCATCAAATTTTTTAAAAATCAAACTGACCTGGCCGGTTTGACCGTGAAACGACGGCTGGTCCGATCCAAAACCCTTATAACCCAATTTAGCCTTCAAACTGCCGAAAACCGGTTGAACCGGCAGTTCGACCCGGTAAACCGGCGAATCGGTTCACCGGTTTGCATACGATTCTCCTTACATAATACCCATAATTCTTATAGCCCTAATTTTATATTGTGATTGAAAGCCTCCTCTTCCTAGTTAATAGAAGCTCGAAAATCTCAAAGGCTCAAACTACGAGACCGTGCAAATGTAGGCTCGAAGCTCTCTTCTCTTCGCCTTCCGACTTCTCGGCTTCGTGCAGTAGCATTCGAAGCTCTTGCTCCAAGTAAAGCAAGAGTCGAACACCATTATAAGCACTTCTCGCCTTCTGGCTTTCCCTTTCTTCTTTCCTCAATAATCAAATCCTCAAGTTTTAGATTCGACTTGTGTTAAGAAAGGCAGAGGTAGACCAAGGAAGACTTGGGCTTATTGTATTAAAAATGATCTTAATTGACTAGAACTAAATGAAAATTTTACACTAAATAGGACGCAATGGAGAAAAAGGATTCATGTAGCAGACCCCACGTAGTGGGATTAAGGCTTTGTTGTTGTTGTTGTTGGGGTGGTGGTTTGCCCTTTGCCGTTACCAAAATATCTACCAATCCTCCAAAGTAATACGAATCTCTAACTTCATAAATGTCCACAGTTAGCTATAAAAAATTCAAAATAGAAAAAAACTATTGTGGATCATAATATGAAAATTTACAGAACAAATTTGAAACTCCATATATTTTCTATTTAGGTGAGGCATTTGTTTCATTTAAAATAATATCACTTAATACTTTCGAGGATTGAGAAAGGAATTGGACATATCATTCAAAGTAGACTTTACGAGTCATGTTTGTAGTGATGAGGCTCATTTATGTAAGCCTTTTCATGTGTCCATGTTCATACATGTTTATAGTGATTTCTTTAGCTTTCTATGGAATAAGAGTATGGACTATGGAAGTAATCCGACATGTTTCCCTTAAAATGTTTGCATTGACAATCCTAACTATATACATTCTTATTATTGTTTAAAAATAATTAGTTATAATGGATTCTTCAGAAAGTCAACCTGTTATATAGCTATAGAAAATATACGGAGTTTCAAATTTGTTCGAGAAGAAGTAGATATAGCCTGAAATCATTAGTAAATTTAAAAGTCTCAGAAAAAAAAAATTGTAAAAATACTTGCATTGTGGAACTATATACAAAGGTGGAGGTATTAACATAATCAAACATCACCTAGTTGGGGTGAAGGGTAATATTGTTGAATGTAAAAAAGTATCACATGATATATGTTAATCAGATGCAAGAGAATTTAAAATAAACAACAACAACAACAACAACAACAACAAAGCCTTAATCCCACTACGTGGGGTCGGCTACATGAATCCTTTTTCTCCATTGCGTCCTATTTAGTGTCATATTTTCATTTAGTTCTAGTAAATTAAGATCATTTTTAATACAATAAGCCCAAGTCTTCCTAGGTCTACCTCTGCCTTTCTTAACAAGTCGAATTTAAAACATATACTCTCCTAATGGGATCATCTAATGGTCGACGTTTAATATGACCAAACCATCTAAGACGACTTTCTCTAATTTTTTCTGTCACAGGAGCTACACCAACCCTATCACGAATATATTCAATCTGCATTTTGTCTCTAAGTGTAAAGCCATTCATCCACCTAATCATTCTCATCTCGGCAACACTTAACTTATTAATAAAATAAACATTTAAAAAAAAAATGGCTGATAAAGAAGAGAGTAGAAGTTTGTATCAAGATTTAATTATTGAAGAAGAGAAAGGTTCTAATTATTTTATCAAAGAATAGAGTTCAACTGCACATAATAAAGAGTTCGAAAAAGAAAAGAAAAAAATAGATGAAATAGAAAATTATTTTATTCCAAGAACAAAACCAAGTTCACAACCATCTATCAAAAGTATTTTGGTATCTAAAGATGTTAAACAACGTGCTAATTTGGCCATAGCTAGATGATTTTTTTATTGTTGCATACCGACAAATGCATCGAGTTCACAATTACAACTATTGGGCCTGAAAACGAACTCCACTTATTATAGAATGAGAGTGACCTTATTAAGTGATTGCTAAGAAGAGTACAGGCTATTTGTTGGGTTTTACAATTGGAAAGACATAAAATATACCTTAATGATTGATGGATGGAGAGACAATAAAAATAGAACTTTAATTAACTTTCTAATTTATTGTCCACGTTATATACCATTTATAAAATTCGTTCATACTTCCAAAATTAAGAAAGCTGCAACAACATTGTGTTTTATTTGAAGTTGTTTAATGGGTATGACGAGAGAATGTGATGCAATTTGTAACTGACAATATTGCAAATTATAAGAAGGCTGGAGAATTATTACATGAGATATGACAATATCTACTAGTCACATTGTGTTACTCACTGCTTAAATCACATCTTAAAAGATACTGGTAGCATTTCACATGTCATTGAGCTAGCAAAAAGTGCTTCAAAAATAATAATATTTATTCATAATTGTGTTTTCATACTATTTTTGCTACGAAAAAGACCAGGGTGGAAAGAGATGGATCCTAAAGCAACCCGATTTGCTACTACTTCTATTACTTTGAAGAGTGTCTATGAGCATAAACATGCTTTGCAGGTCTTTATCACAAGTAGATATTACACAGACTCAAAGTTGTATTTATCGACAAAAGAAAAAGATGTTGCTTCCATCATTTGACTTCTGAAATGATCATTGTATAATGTCAAAGTTATCAGGACACTTGATAAGCTTAGTATTTTTCATTTATGTAAACTATGATTTTTATCATATAATAATAGTAGTATTATGATATATCATTCTATATTGTCTAATTTTTTTAAAATAATTATATGTTCGTGTTGTTGACTCTAATGAAAAACCTTCACTTGGATATTGATATAATGATATGCACATAGTAAGAAAGACAATAATGACTATATTTTGGAAAAAAAAAAGGTTATACAAACCATATAAAAGTATCATCAAGAGTAGATGGGATAATCAACTTTAACAAACTATTCATGCAGCAGCCTATTTATTGAACCCCCATTTCCAATATGATAAAGAGAATTGTTGTAATAAGCATGAGATTATGCAAGGTTTGATTGAGATTATTGAAAACAAAGATACATGCACAAAGAATACATTGGCGATGAACGACGTTAGACTTTTTCATTATAATTTAAATATTTTGAAAGATCAAAAGCCTGACAATGTCAAAGGAGATCCAACCCCATAGGTTCATATATTATATTTAATTAGTATTGCATTTATACAAGTATTTGAGTTGTATCACTTTTAATTTTTTCATTTTTTTCAACTAGATGAATGGTGGAAGATGTTTAGCTCAAGTGCTCCAAATCAATAGAATTTAACTATAAGGATTCTTAGTCGAACTTCTTCTGGGGATGTGAAAAAAATTAGAGTTTTTTTAAGCAAATTCATACAAAACAAAGAATCATCTAGAGCATCAAAGATTAAATGATCTTGTATATATGTGATACAATCTCAACTTAGAAAATAGATAATATGTTTTTCTATATTTGAGGAAGAATATTTTATTATTTTTATTAATAAATGCTAAATTGGTAATACGTAGTTGAAAATTTCTTATATTTATATTTTTAGATTGCATATTAAAAAAAAGAAGTTATGATATGTTAGATTGCACGAGTATTGAGATGATATATTTTTTAGTAGTTGATGTACAACATTCTCCTGAACTTAACTATAACAATTTAGAGTGAAATTTATAGATAGGATATTATTTCATTTACTGAAGATCCAAACAGAGTATCTAATATACAAACTCAATGTAAGTTTTCTTTTAATTTAAAATTTTACATTATTTATTTGCTTATAATGCATATTTAAAAGAAAGTCTTATATGTATAAGTGAAAGTTTCAATAATGCTACTGAAAGTATTGAAAATGATGATTTGGAAGCTTTCAGAGAAGGAGCTAGTAAACGTATAACTTTTGAGGAAATAATTTTTGTGGAGACCTTCAACGAAGACGATTTTTTAATGTCGTCTTTAAACTAAATTATTTTTAATTTCATTTATAGTTTTAAGTGTCATTTCTTTTTTTATCACAAGTTTCATTTTATCAAATTTGTGAAACTTTAAAGTTTTTTGTTTACATTTTATTTACATTATTTATATTGTTATTAGTAGAATTCAAGTTGGTTGGTTGAAGTGGAGAAATGCATCAGGATTATTGTGTGATAGAAAAGTTCAACTCAGACTGAAAGGAATATTTTATAAGATGGTGGTGAGATCTACAATGCTCTATGATGCAAAATAATGGCCTTTCAAAGAGAAGCATAAAATAAAGTTAAGTGTTGCTAAGAAGATAATGCTTAAGTGAATGAGTGGCTTGACACTTACGGCGAGTTTGGCACAGCTTAAAAGGAGTTGTGTGGTGGGGAAGCACCGGTTATGCCTGTTTCTAAAAGCTTTTTTAGAATAGTTAATTAAACGATGGTCACGGGTTCGATTTTGTGGACCATGTTTATTCAAGATATTTTTCCTTTTTCTACCCACACGCTCGCTCTCTGTGCTCTCGAGTGCCCCTTTCTCGCGTGTCACTTCTCCTCTATGTGGCTTCGATGGCTAAGGTTGGCTTTTTCGGTGTAATTGGTTGTGATGGTTGTTGACTTCGGTGGTTGTTGGTTGCAGTGATTATTGTGATGAGTTAGCCTTTCTTCTCCCTCCCCCCTCCTTTGTCGTTGTGGCTAAGGTTGTCTTCAGTTGCTAGAGTTGGTCTTTCTTCTATGGTGGTTGTTGGTTTCGGCTCTGCGTTGGTTGTTGCGGTTATTGTTGATTTCACCTCTCCCCTCTATGGCTTTGGTGGCTAGGGTTGATTCCAAACCGGCCCTTTGGTTTCGATGATTGTTGCGGTGAGAGTCTGCCTTTCTTCTCCTATCCACTCTGTTCTTCGGCTCCGTTTGAATCCTTCGCTCTCCGTCGCCCAAATGTATTCTTTACATATTGGGCAATTTGATTTTGCGATTATTTGCGTATCTTTGTGCTCGGTGATGGTATGGTTTCTCTGTGCTCTTTTTCGGTTGATGATGTTATGATGTTGATTTTACGATTTTTCTTGCTATGTTGTGATGTTGATGGATTGCGGCATGGTTGTGCTGTGATGTTGATTTTGCGGTTTTTCTTACTATGTGAAAATTATAGTTCTATGATTTTAGTGGCATGTGGATTTTTTTTGGAAATAGAGTGGAAATTAGAGGATAGCTTCATTTATTTGTGTTGTGGTTGTTGGCATGAGGAAATAACGATGTTGTTCGGTCTGTCATGTTGTTGGTGTGCTATGATTTTGGTGGTGTTTGATTTGGAGGAGGTAAAGTGGTGATGTGGAGGTAGGTAATGTTGGGGTGGTGGAATGGTGTGGTCTGCTATTGATGTTAGTGGTTGGTGGTGTGGTGTGGAGGAGGTGGTGTGGTGTGGTGTGGAGGTCGCGGTGTGGTGTGTTATTGATGTTGGTTGTAGTTTGTGTGGAGGTGGTGGTGTGTTGTAAAGGTGGTGACGATAGTGTTGGTGATGAAGAAGTGTGACGTGTTGATAAATATAATAGTGGTGGTTGTGATGCGATGGTGGTGTTGCAGATGTTTATGTTTCTTACTTTTTTATTTATCTCTCATAAATTTATGTTCTTTAGTTCTTTGCATGCTAGTTGTTGTAATGGGCAAGGCAATAGAACTCCGATAGTCTGCTACCTGGGATAAAGAGATGAGATTAATATTATGTGGCCTCTGTGTCAAAGAGGTCAAGTTGGAAAATAGGCCAAGCACTTATTTTAACAAAGGTTGGCAGAATCTAATAAAAAAAGTTAAAAAAAACATATGGAGAGAGTATGATGGAATGCATTCTAAGAAAAAATGGGATCACTTGAACAAGAACGGGAAAATATGGAAAGAACTAAAGCGAGGATCCACAGGCTTGGGCTGGGATCCTATAAAGTGAACTATTGATGCTTCTAAAGAATCATTTTAAAGTTACTACATTTTCATTGATCAATCTAAAGATTTATTAATTGATTTGGGGGAAGTGTCAACTGCAAAAAAATTAAAATTCAGTGGCATTGACACTAAGCTTGAACATAAGTTGGATCGTATGTTCGGTGGAGTGGTGGCCACAAGAGTGCAAACATGGGGACCAAGTGAGAGAGGGCACGAAGCCCGATTTAAATATTTAGAAGCGGAGCAATATATTGGGTCCAATGAAAGGTCCAACTCCAATCTACATGCAGTATGATCTACCACTTGATCTAAACGTCATAGGGTTGAGAAAAAGAAAAAAGGTGTCACTTTCATCAGAAGTCTGATCTCTCAATTGGTGGCTTCATGCATTAGCCAGCTTAGTGGGTCACATGCAACTTCTATTCAGCGGGTTATGAGAATTCTGAAAGATACTCAGAAATTGATAAGAACATGTTGCTTTACTTGTTCTTCATGAAGATGTTGGAAGACCCGAACAAGAGAGTTTTTCATGAAGATATTGGAAGACCCGAACAGGAGAGAGTTTTTCATATCGATAAAAGATGACCGTAGGATTAATTGCTTAAGATATCATTACGACAATTCAGATGCATGAATTTTGTATTATTTGATGGACTAATTTATGATGACCGTAGGATTAATTACCTAAGATATCATTACGACAATTCAGATGCATGAATTTTGTATTATTTGATGGACTAATTTATGATGAGCGTAGGATTAATTACCTAAGATATCATTACGACAATTCAGATGCATGAATTTTGTATTATTTGATGGACTAATTTATGTTGTTTGGATATTTGTTTTTTTTTTAAATTTGGACACCTTCAAATTATTTCTTGCAGTGGAGTGTTCTTTATATGCTATTTTTAATGTTAAATGCAGTTAAATCTGATTAAGTGCTCTTTTATGTCATATTTTATTTAGTGTTCATTTGAGAGGGTTAGCAATGTCACTCGGGATAGGAAAAAGATGTTAAAAAAAAACACTCATCCTTACGATGTGTCACTAAAAGAACATTTGGGGTTTAAAAAAAAAATAGGCCATACTACTGGATATGCCTACATATTCATTTCCCAATCAAGTGCAAATTGTGGTCGTCACGATAACTCCTCAAAACTATATTCAGCTGCATTTTTTGCGCAATAACATTGACTTTAATAGAGGTGATGAAGATCATTCACATCTTTGTTGAAGCATATGAATATCACTTTGCGAAATCATCATCACAGGCCGAAATTGATTTGCCTGGGACTTGCACCCACGATGGGGAAGGTAAAAACAAGATGATAGAGTTGACGAGGCAAATTACAGATGCTATAGTTGGAGGCAAATGGAAGGAAAGTTTGTTTTCTTGTTGCTATTTGTAATGTATTATGGAAATATTTATTGTTTGTTGTATCAAATTTTTATACAAGTTATGTTTATTTATTTTATTTATATTTCTTATGCATGTGTTTTTTCACACCTGGATGGCCATGAGGCACCGCAAATAAATTATTTAATATAAATTTTTATTGCATGTTTTTTTTAGGTCTATAATGAGACATTCGACCTTAAGGGTTCTGTTAGATGACCAATATCTGTTATTGGTTCTTGTCACATATGAAATCCTAATGAAGGCAACCAAGTTTCTTCTCTTTTTCAGTGCTATGATTTTTTAGGTTCTTTTAGATGGTCTTTTTTTGGTGTTATGCATATGTGACACACACGAAATCGGTATCACGTCGGTTAAAAACAACCAAGGATGTCATTTTTAAAAGGTTTGCTATCTAATTATAGTGACAGATTCGTTGATTTATATATTGTGTTCTTTGAGACCTGACAGCTGCATAAAAAATTAATTGCTTACTTCTATTACTCATTTCTACTAATGTTGCATCTAAGAGTCTGCGCTTTGTGGTTTAAAGCCTTCAGAAAAGATGAGATCGAGGATTTCCAGTACATCAAGAGCATTGTACTGCTGCTGCAGACTACAATCTTCCCTGTTTACTTTAAGACAATCACATAGCTACAAGAGAGTTTTACATGTATCCGATGACAATAGTAGAATGTTGTGAATTCTTTAAATGGGTGGATGGGTTGGAAAATTCCACCGCTGATAGTAATTGGACGTGGAGAGATTCATTGAAGGACCGCTTATCTTGTGATATAAATCAAGTGAATTTTAAAAATAATACTACCATATTATTAAATGTTATTTTAATAGTCTTTTTTTAATTTTGATTGTCGTGCTACTTACTGTTGTATATTTTTATTTTGTAAAGTTCGAACTGGATACTTGCTTTCAAGTATGGAAGGTGTAAGAATGAACAGTTGTGTTATAAACAACATTATAATACATAGATAGAAAAGTCATTTGTTCAGAAACACTTGCAATACCACTATTTCAAAACTGCAAAAAACAAATAGAGTCAGTTCATCCGCAGCAACTTCCGCGCAACAAATTCTTGCCACAGCTGCTGGGTAGTAGCTTTTAATTAAGTTGTAGCTGCCCTAAACAGATCCTTAGAGACAATGCAAAATGTATATATCCGTGATAGGGTTGGTGTAACTCTGATGGCGGACAAAATTAGAGAAAGTCATCTTAGATGGTATGGTCACATTAGACGTCGACCATCTGATAATCCAGTTTGGAGAGTAGATGTTTTAAATTCGGCTTATATTATTAAAGGCAGTGGCATACCTAAAAAAAAATTTGGTAAATTTGTATAAAAATGTTCTTCATCTATTAGAGTTAAATGAAAATATGGTAGTCAATAGAACGCAATGGAGCAAAAGAATTCATGTAACCGACAATACTTAGTGGGATAAAGGCTTGTTGGTATTGTTTTTTATTTTGTCTAAGATTTTAATTCAATATAATTTATGACTCATTAGTGCTACACTTATAATTTTGTACCTTTCATTTGAAATTTAAAATATTTGTTATTTATATTTATTATGTCATTTGATTCAAACCCCAGTAAAATCGATAAATATTGAACATTTCCTTCTTCACGTTTGATGTCCGGTCCTGTTTTCGAAACCTTGATCCCAACATTGTTACAAGCCCTGGCTCTGGAAATAATTTGAGTGATAAAAATGTAACTTTTTCCTCTCTCGCTTCCCCCTCTCTATAGCTGCACAACACTGACCTTGTATAAAACACTATATTTTCTCGGGTCATCTAAAAAAAATTATTCCAATTTTGTGCATTCTGCGCCGTACCATAAAGTCCAACTATTTTACAGTAGTTACATAAATAGAAGCAGCATACAGCAAATTAAAATTATGACAAAGAAATATAAAAAGACTAAAAGTTACGAAATACCGTCATTCTATTGGTTAGTGTATGGTTTCGCATCTTAGGGAAGACCTGACCCTTCCAATTTATGCCATTACCAACATAAAACCCTCCTCTTGACACAACCTGTACATATTATTACATGTTAACATCCCAATGAATAAATTCATCAATGATCGGAATAAATCTATTAAAAGATAGATGATCGGAATAAATCTATTAAAAAATAGATTATGATTCAATTATAAAAATGAAAGAAATAGATAAGATAGTTGACTAACCTCTTTATACAAATTGTACAAATCAAGCCGCTTAGCATTAAGAACGGCCTCAGGAAACTCTGATAAACTCCCAGGAACAAGTCTATTGTGTCCCCGAAGAACTAAGAACTGCATCACATCTTCCAAGAACTCTTCCTAAGAATGACAACATCAAAGAAAGAATAAAAAAATCAAATGAAAAAAATCACCCACTTAGACATGTGGATAAAGCCAATAAATAAATGTTTTGCTCATAATAAATAAATAACGAACACAGTAGCTTACTTCAGTGCAAACTTGGATAGTAGCCCTATCACATCCATGCTTCTTCATAGGGAGAGGATTTAGAGGAAGTATTTGCTGAGTTTGGAAAGAGCTTCGTATTGATTTCCTGTGACTCATAGGAGCTACAGGGACGGAGTTACATTTTGTGGCCGGACCTGGCTTTGCCCTACATCCTTTACAGGCAGCAGATACAGGCATTTCAGAGAATGGAAGCATCTTATGCCGTCTCAAGTGAGGAATAGGCCTCATTGCAGCAACCTTCAATTTCTTTCTGGAATGCAAGACTGAAATGTGGTTCCACTCCATTAATCTTTTATTGTTATGATTCCTATCAGTTTTTGTCTTTATGGTTCCATTTCCCACGGCTAGGTTGAAATGAAGGATTGGTTTTAATTCTGGATTAGGCATAGACCTGTCACAGACAAGAGAGGAACACCACCTTGGCATATGATTAATGAGAACATCTTCGCTAGAGAACTCCATGCCTTGTCTTGTGCAGAAGAAAAGGAGACGATCCGCATCTTCTTTCTCAAAGGAAGCCACTGGAGTGCCCTGAACGCTAGCAATTCCAAGAGCAACAAGGCTGCGGTGGGAAATTTCAGGTGCGAGATGCCTAAGAACCTATATAAAAATATAAAAGATGCCTGTTTTTATAAATTTAAAAAGAAGAAAGAGAGACTAATCATCCCAATCCCAGATTCATGGTGTCATCAAAAGACAACTGCATTCATACATACATACATAATTAATACGAATAATTTTTTTTTTTTTTCATATAGCCCTTAAAATTTAACTTGATAAGAAGAGTCCTCCTGGAGATGCATGGAAGGAGAATGTAAGAAACATACCTGGGCAGCCCAAGCTGGGGCTTTCATGCGTACTTCAAATACAGATGCCCCACAAGCAATGGAACCAAAACTCAATGAGTCGGGTAATGATGATTTGCTTTCATCACAAGTTGATGAAGCATGAACTAACCGAGACTTTTCAATAAGATCATTCTTAATGTGGCTTTCAAGAACCTGTATTTTGCAGAACCAAGTTAAACGTGGTGGTAAAATTCAAATAAAATTAAATGGGAACACTGAGCCTGTACCTGATCGTTAAAACATGTCTGTGGGCTACCAGACACCAAAAAAGATATATGAGCAGAACTGTAAGTAGTAAGATCACAACGCATCGTCACAACTCCAGGTTCAAATGCTCCAGCTTGGAAAGGTGGTGGTGTAGCACTGAAACATTTCGCGGAAACCAGTTAGTACGAGGAGCCAGTTCATACCCAAAATATAAGAAAAAACGTCCAGGGAATAAGTGAAAAATATGAATTCAAGAGACGAGCATTCAGAATTCTGTTCTTATTGAGCACAATTCATAACTGGCTTCTCAAACGATTCAAATCATGGGCAGAAACCTCTGAAACAAATATATTTCAGATGAAAAATGTAAGAAGGCAATCCATTCAAAATATATACACATGGATAAAAATGGATACTCAAACTCTTGTATGCACATGCTGAACAGTAGTTCATAATATAATCATTGAAAAAAAATATCATAAATGATAAAAAAGACTACTACAACCTCTCTTAAGTGCCTTCTATTCACAAACATAATGTAGAGGTAATTAAGACGGTTGAACATTCATGAAGGATTGTAAGCAATTTACCATTCCCATTTCATCTCAAACTTCATGGAAAAAACACGCTGTATAACCGCTGTATAACATTAAATTTTCAGAAACTAACAATTCACTGAAAGAAGTGTGATGAATTAATTTTGCATAAAAGAATGTTACCGTTCCTAAGCCTCAGACAAAAAAATTGAAGGTTGACATTAGGTAAACAACAAACATACAAAAACCCATACCAATTTGCATTGGACAAGGCTACCATTTCACCTAGAAGGCACAACGAAAGGTTAGGCAGTATTGGTAAGGTCATGAAAACCATTTCACCTACCCATGAAAACATAGATAGTATTGGTAAGGTCAACACTAACACGAATAAATTGATTGTGGTGAAATGCGGGCAAATGCCACCTAACCATCTACTCTGAAACTAAAATTAGATTTGTTGTGCGAAATTTGGGATCCTGAGAAGAATAATGAAAAAGTAGACACAATCATTAGAAAAATAAATATCATATATTTGCAAAAACAATTAAATGAAAATGTCAAAAATTCAACTACACGGGAATGTCATAGGCTATTATATGTTGGTATTGATTAAGGATAGTTGAAGTTGGAAGGTTTAAGAAGTGGAGGAATCATTTTAGGGCAGAAGGAGAAGATCTGGAAGAGTGATTATGCCTAATACTTCAAGCTACCGATTCATTCCAGTAACATTTTGGTTCCTTCATATTGTTTTTAATGTCCCTAGAGAGTTTTTAAACTTGGAGAGGCTTGGTGTTGGGGTTGAGTTTTCCACTTTAGAAGCTGTCGAGTAGCACTTGAGGAAAAAAGAGAAACGGTTGAGGAGGAACCTCCCTGAATTGCATTGATGAGAATTTATGCGTAACCATTTTTATTGACAAATAACAATGATAAAAATATTTCAACAGACCCAAATAAAATAGAACAAGATATACTTAATCCTCAAACTAGCCATTAAAAAACGTCAAAGGCAATCCAAATCCGTTTTAAAATCTAAAAATGAAATTGATTTAAGGTCGAAGGAAAGATCCGGAAAAGTGATTATGCTTAAATCTTTTCCAACTCATTCCAGTAACATGAGGGTTCATTTATATTGTCCTCAATGAAGTAATATGAAGGTTCATCAATATTGTTCTCAATGACCCCAGAGAGTTCTTAACGGTTGTATAGGCTTTGTACTGCTGTTGGGGTTGAATTTTCTCCTTTATGTGGTTGTCAAATAGCACTTGGAGGAAAAGAGGAATTGTTTTGGAGTAATCCCATTTGAATTTCATTGATCAAAATTTAAGACTATATGTTTTTTACACAAATAACAATAATAAAAATATTCCAACAAACCCAAATAAAAAGGAAAAAGATATGCTTAATCTCCTTAGAGTACGAAAAAAAAACTAGCTATTAAAAGTCACATGACAGACAATCCAAATCCATTCCAAACCCATTCCAAAGTCCCTCTACTCATTTTTCTTCTAGTTCCATTGTTTGGCACAAAAAAAGTGCACTAATATAACTCACGGTTGTCAAAGTTGAGATCAACCAAAAACACAACTCAAACCTGACACAAAAATAGTAGGCTCAGGTCAACCCATATATCATTCAAGTTTTCAATTCAAATTGAGTAACCCAAAGAAATACAATTGGTTTGGATGATGTCGACATACTTCAGATCAATACAAAAAAATGAATTAATCTATTTGATTATTCTATTAATCAAAAAATTCAAATAAAATTACCTGTTTTTTTTTTCAAAGCTTGCATGTTCAAATAAAGGAGTCATGTCTATTTTGAGTCAAACTGCAACTACCCGGACACAACTTAAATGGTCTTCATGTTATGTCAAATTAAATTTGGGTTTAGTGAGATCAGATTTAAATAGAAGTTTTTGACTCATTGAAAAAAATGGGTCACATTCATGTAGGTTATATTTGGGTTAGATCATTTTTAAATCGAACACAAATACGACTCGTTAAGCCAAACTGATGTGCATAATGTATCCACACGTTGTTTGGACAATATATTGATGTAACTTGCTATTAGAAAGTGATATGGCTAATCTTGTAGCCCACCCAAAAAAAAGACTAAGCACACTAATAAGCTCTTAAGGTTATTAATAGCCACACGTTTCTATTATATTACAATCAAACTTACGATTGATATAATTAAAGTAAAATGATAAGATAGAAACATTGGCTTAGAAGAAAAAAAACCTATCAATTTGATTTTATATTCAGAAGTATTATAATGAAAGCGAGTTTTAGGAAAATATAATTAATAAAAAAAGAATAGATAAATTTGAGGAAGTTGATCTGATGTGATAAAGAAGAAAATTGTGAACCAAGGTTACATTGAAATATTGAGATATTTATATGATTGGGCAATACCTAGAAGTGGCTAATAGTTTTCAGCCATAATAAAATAATGCAAATGATCAATATTATATCCATATTTTATTATATTGACAAAAATGATGCTTAGAAAAGATATTCGGAGTCAAATATCATGGTGATGGTTATTTATTGATGACACATCAAGAAAGTGACTGGTTTAAAAAAAGCAAGTGAAAAAAAAAAGTTCAGAATTAGATGTAGAGCTAACTAGTACATGATACGCAATTTTAGTGGATTTAAAATTGATAAAAAAACATCAATATTGTTAGAAGATTAAAAAATAACTAGTTTAAATAGTTTCATTAATTTAGTGTTAAAATTCAAAATAGTTCCCTGACTATTCATATGTGATCAATTTAGTCATAGAATATTATATTTCTATAGTTTAATCCCACAAATAAGCAAACTTGATCCAAATTAACCTCTTAGAAAGTAAATTTAGATCAGCTTTATATACTCGAGAGAATAAAATGTGATAAATTTTATATCAAAATTTCTATGGACCGGTTTTAGATAAGTTCTATAAATTCAGGGACTGACGTTCGGTTTGTTTAACGCATTTATGTTGTGTTTTATCCACACCGGCGCGTATTAACATGATTTTTATGTCGCTATTCTCTGCCAGCATTCCACATTTTGGTAATAGTTATTACTGCACGGCCCTTCGCTCGCTCTCGGACGCTTCCATCTCCCTAATTTTGCTTTGCCCTGTCCTCTTCAACAGCTCTTGTGCACGAAGACAAGGGATCCGGGGAGAAGTACCTTCAATCTTCGTTCTTCTATCTGTGTAGGAGGTACCTTCAACGGATCTCTGCCATGGATTTTGTAGGTTTGTTATTTGCCAATTTTTTTATTGCACAGTGAAGATCAAGAAGTTTCACAAGTATTTTTTTGCCCTCGCTTCTGTCCTTGTTTACATAAGGATTTTGATCTATCTGTCCTAATTTCTTCGGAGTTTGTCGTCGGATATTCATCTCTTCGCACATATTTTTTGGAGTTTCTGTGTGGATTTTCATTTGTGTTATGACGGTTTGGAATAGTTTATGGGGATAAATGCTTCCTAGTATGCGTATGAGGAGATTTCGATCTCTCTGAGCTTACTTTTTGTGGGGATTTAAGAATTTTGCTGACTGCTGAATAGCAATTTGGTGAAAAAATTATGCCTCAAGCACAAATAAGAAAAGTTTGGGATATTTACATAAAAAGTGTGCGATTCTTCTATAAAGTTTAGGGAAATTTATAAACCTAGCACAAAATTCTTACATACTTACATGTAGTTGTATTCGTGTGTATTTTACTGTTTTCGCATGATTTCAACTTGTTGTTTATGCGGTAATAGTGTTCATTTTGATATGATTTTACATATTTGAGTGTTATGTGCATAAATATGAAAGTTATTGTGTGAGATATGTAAATACATATTTGAGTGTTGTGTGAGTGTCAACAAAGAATAACGACATGACATTGAAATAAATTGAAAGAGAGCACGATACAATGCAATTAAAGAATAAGTATGATCAATTAAAAAAAGATTAAAATTTATGAAAAGAATTAAAGTGATGAGCTATAAGTCTTGGATGGAATCATACAAAATGGGTCATTGATGCATCTTAAGAATGGTGGAAGGAAATATTATAGCTGAAATTGTATTTTTTAGTAAGACTATTCCACATGCTTATGTTAAAGCATTCTATAATTCAACATTTATTTAATATCTGTCATCTGTAGGTTATGCCAAACGTGAAAAAATTTAAATTTAGCGGCATTGACCCAAAACTAGAGAAGAGGTGAGATCAAGTATTTGGCGTCATTGCCACCAATGATCATGCGTGAATAGGTCTGTCAATTTGGCTCGTTGTTCGTGAACAGCTCGTGTTCGGCCCGTTCGTTAAGCCTAACGAGCCGAACACGAACAAGTTTTTAAGCTCGAAATGTAAACGAGCCGAACACGAACAACAGTTTGTTCGCTCGTGTTCTGCTCGAAATGGCTTGAAAAAAAAAATTATATAATTTCTTATATAACAATATATTACATATATTATTTATATAATAATAATAATATATTATACATATTTATGTCTAAGTTTAAATCATAACACCTCATGTGACAATGTGGTTAGTGTCTTTTTTTTATAGATTTGATTCAGGTTCGAATCCTACACTTTACATCTATTTTTCTCAATTTTAGTTTAAC